CGAGCAAGTCCTTCTTTCCCATCATCTGTCTGCTTCTTTTCCTCTTTCAAATCCCGTCAGTAGCAGGTACCCAAAGCTCATCCCAGCTCCCAGATCTTAATGTCAATTAAGCAAGCATGAGCGCACTCTCACACACACACACACACACACACACACACACACACACGATGCTCTCCACCATTTCAAGAGGAGCTGAATGAGAGCAGTTGTAGAGGGAGGGGCTGCTCGCTGCAGCGGCGTGCAGGCAGCGCTGAGCCAGAGCGATGCCGTCCCCCCGACCATCATCAAAAGCTCTTTGTACCAACACTGCTGCAGCGTGCGTTTGTGTGGATCACTAAAGCATTGTCACAGACACACAGGGCGAGCGTTCGAGACTCTGATGTGCAACAATGATGGGAAAGTTGCAGCAGCAGTGTCAGAGACGCTTTCTGTTAATCACTCGTGTACGAGATCAAACCACACACGCACGTAAACTCTGGGTTTGACTTATCCAAGATGATCGTAAGAGCCACAGACGCAGGGAGACGTCACCGTGTCTGTTCTTTTACACGAGGTTCTGGGTTTGAGAGATTTAGTGCCAATATGTTTTACACAAGACTTGTTTAATGGCACCACTTTGTGAGCAGGAACAGAGAACAAAGCAATTATATGAGACTTGAGCTGCTGCACGTCGAAAGATCTCAGTGTGGGGCTGGAGTCGCTGGAGAAGTGTCATACTGACTTAAAGGACAGATTTCTGTGCTGCGACTGATTTTACACTAAATGTTCTGTAACGTAACCTATCCACGAACCGTTCAGCTTCTCCATCCTTTTAAGTGCTCTTGAAATGCTTTTTCAACATTTTCTGCGTTGTAATGTGGTGCGTTTGGCTAAGGATCATCAAAGCGCTGCTAACAGTTCAGATTCTCCAATTTCCACATTTCTGTGTGGAATATGCAAACGTACAGAGATCTGGTTTTTGTCAGACAGACTTACGGGCTGAGATCCAAGTGCAAACAGACCCCGAGGAGAGTGCGATTACGTTTCAGTGGGTGCTGAGCAGAAGAAGGGTGTGAATGACGGCCTCAGGCTCTGTGCAGCGAGTCGGACTGTCAGGCCGATGGTTCAGACCCGACCCGATGCGCTGCTGCCTGCTGCTGTTTCCACAGACCGGGAAGAAACTGGGAGTGACTGGGACATTCAGTGGTGTCCTGATGAGGCCGATCCCTCACTTCTCACAGCGTCTCAGAATACCACTGTGGAGGAAAACGAGTCCCGACGATACAAGATTGGAGAGGAGGAGGCAGCTGGATGAGTTACGAGGCTCTGGCTGGGTCACTGGTAGTCTGGCCTTTGGAGGCAGTCATCTAACCCCCAGCCACTTATATTCCCTTTGCTTTTTCGAGCACATAAGAGCTTTGAGATTTACACAGCTACTCTATTTAATTGAATTTAATTTGAGGTGGCTTTGAAACCTTAAATCCTGGTGTTGGTCCCTCAGCAGACAGTCCGAGCTCCTTGACAGCTTATCATGAAGACGGGATTAGGAGGTTTTTTTTACTAAGAATATGAGGATATGTGAGGCAGACATGCAGCACTTTAAGTTATTTGCTTGCTAATTATTTAAGCTCTGATTTGTGTTATCTGTAGCAAGCCCCTCGTGTGCACGCAAAGGCACAGTTTGCACGGTAAAGACTACAACCTAATCTGTGCAGGCAGAAGTGTCGCAGAGCCACAGATTAAGATTCAAGTCAAGCTGTCATTTCAAGACTTCTTCAAATCAGGGGTGCATCCCATTGGACAAGTGCGAGAAGTGCCCGGAAACTTTTGGCATTTTGCATTTAGACACAGATGACCCTTTGGTAATAATCCTCTTAAGGCCGTCTCTTTGTTAGACGGTAAAAAGGACGAGCGATCTATCCAGTCTGACTGGCCAGGCAGATTAATTCCTGTTAGCTTTGTCCAGCCCTCCTTGTTAACACCGTCCACACGGGCCCGAGGC